TATCTATTTCTATTGGACAGTGTTCATTTAGATAATCACTTGCCTAGACACAGAAGACTAGACCAAGACACTTCTCAGAGATCTGCGAAGTTATAGGATACCATGATTTCCCTCAGCAGCCATGGTGATTCGATTTTAAAACTCTCCCATTCTCAGAAAATAAAGGAATGGCGAGGGTCTGTGAAACTGAGGTCGATCCATCCCTCTATTTACGTGGCTGACCAAGACCAGGATCTCCACTGATTTACAGTGAGCAGTAGTTCCTTATGCTCTGCTCAACAGTCTCATTTATCAATTACTCTGACTTCAGATTTTTGAAATGGGGATAGTAGCAGGGTAAGATGTGGGGCAGTGGGGGCTGTGAGTGATGATACTTAGACCTGACAAAAAAGCAGGGGTCTGAAGCTTGAAATGAAGGTCCAGGACTCCTAGGACCCACAGGAAACAGGCCTGAAATGAGAACATGCACACACACAAGCACACACACACAAACACACATGCACGCACACATACCCCTGCCTCCTTCTGGCTTTTCATTCAAGGTTTCTAAAGATAAGATGACCTAGTTTCATAACCCAGTTTAAACCAATCCCACATGAAGACTCTGGTTCCTTAATCTTGTCCCTGAACCAAACTGTGAGGCAGTGCATCAACTGTGTGATGTTTCTAACTGCCTCAGAGAACGTGTTTCTTTTCTTAGAATCAGAAAGGAAAGGTGCTTTGGACTGAAGATCTGGCTTTGTTTGTATTGAGGCTCTGTTTTCCGCAGCTCTTGGGACTAAAGACAGTTTGCCAATGAGGAAGGAAAACAAAATGAAATCAAGGGTGCTGGGTTTAAAACCAATGTGCCCTTTAAGAAAGATCTTGGTGGCTTTTCCACCACTGTTCAGGGGGTTGTTTTAGGCAGGGTAATGGGCAAAAACAAATTATGAAACGTGGAGACAGATGGGAGACACACTTCCTCAGCTCTCTGCTGCAATTCTACTAACAGGGAAGAGTGCTGTAAGTCCAAATGAAGTCTCCATTGCATGGGAGATATGACATTTAAAAGAAGATACACATTATCTGTGGAACAGACACACTTCTAAATGGACTAATTCACTCTAAACTGGGAACTTGGAAACCATCCCAGGAGATGAGAATATTTTTCCTTTTTAGGCATTACTTCCTTCCTTTCTAGTAATTTAACTTGTTTTACCCCAACTGGCTTGGCTGACAGGCATCACCCAGTGTCAGAGGGGGCAGATGCGGCAGGTTGTCACTGTGAAGGTGAAAAGAGGATGCTTTTGTGAAGAGTAGGAAGAATGAAGTACTGTGGGTGCCTTAAGATCTAACACAATGTGTTGAATTAGGAAGGAAATTTAAAGAGAGTTACTTAGGATTAAAACAGCATAAATCCATTTATTTTTCAAACAGACTTTGAAGTCATGCCTACCAAGCCTTCCAGGAACTGGAGATTATCTGAGTGCCTGTCAACTCCCAGTGAAATATCCCCTTCTCACTGATTAAGCAGAAAAACTGTAATCAATTCCTCCCGACATCAGTAACCAAGCAGCTACTAGGTCTATGACACCGCGCTCTCCACTGTGAAGAGAAAACAAGCAGAAAACATTGCCCCTCCTTTTAAGCAGCCTAAAATCTGGCAGCCATAAATAAGAAAGTCAAACAAAAAAATGAATTTGGTTCTAAAATCTGTAAGACAATGCACTATGAACAGAGAGGTATTGTGAGGATACAAAGCAAAGAGTACATCAGATAAATAGAATTGGTTTGATTGAAAAGATGAGCATGGCTTGGCAGAGAGCAAAAGAGAAAATCTCTACAGGAAATAGCAATTTTCAGACTGAGTTGAGCCCAGTATCCACTGCTGTCAATAGAAGACTCAGGCGCCATACAGAAGACTGATCTGGATACTCTCCACACATCAGCGTTACAGGTTCTATCCCTGACATGCACGGAGGGAAATGACTGTGTACAGGCAGCCTCAGTAAATATCTATCGGTAAAAAAATCTTCAAAGAATTAGCCCATGTGGGGCAGAGAATCCTAAAAGTCATAATAAGCCATTTGAGTAAAACACAGCAGGAGAGAATGCTTGGGATTTTGAGAAACAAGCTAAAACTGAGAGAGAGAGAGAGAGAGAGAGAGAGAGAGAGAGAGAGAGAGAGAGAGACTGTATATATCACAAACAAGGAAACGAGAACATAAAAATGGAATATTTAAAGAAAATTATTAAATTCATGTACTCAAAGCATTAAAACTGTCTGCTAGAATAGCACCCTCCTGGCCAAGAAGTGCAGGAGCCTAAGGTCTAGGCTCACTAAATCAGTGCTCACCTGTCTCAGGCTCCCTACAAATAGACTTAAAGCCATTTGCCAAAGTATATTTAGGAAATAATTGTGTCCCCTCAGATGACTTTGACACATAGGCTAGTGTCAGAACACGACCCTTTTGGGATTCCACAATAAGTAGAAACTTGGGGACTGAGATTCTAATTCCAGGTTCACTCTGACTTACTTTATAACTTCAGACACACAGTGAACAGTTTTTTATAATCTGTTTCCTTACAGATGAAGGAAGAAGAATAGAGTAACAGAGGCCGGACAGTCATAGTAGCAGAGGCCTTTAAGGTGACCCCCATTTATTCCCCTGAGTCAAAGGTTATGGTCCAGAGAAAATTTCAACCCAAGAGTCAAGTGGGGTGGGAAAGGAAATAAGAGAATCCTCATCATCTCTGCTGGATCCCTGTCTGCCACCGTGGTCAAGACACTCAGAAGCACAACTTAGCCCTACTGGGGCCCTTTACCTTACAAAAGGCAAGAGACTGGAGTTGCCCCTACCTTTTTATAAGCTCCTGCCACCTTCCTTTTTATTTGAAAGATTCAAAGAGGCTCCAACCCCAATCATTGCTCAATAAATAGTAATGCTGAATAAGTAAAGGTTGCTCATCTTCATCGAGTCCAGAAGAGTGAACTAATGGTAGGAGATGAGGGAACCAAACCAGCGGGTGGAGGAGAGGGAAAGCACAGAGAGGTGACTCTTCTTGCACTTTAAACAGAACAAAGAAATCCCTGGTTGGCTCCTTGAACAGAAGAGCAAACTAAAGTAATACAAGTAACCTAAAGTCTTAGCTAGAGAAAAAGTCACTGAAGTATTTTTAACAATCTGCTTTTTCCTCTCTTCTGAAACAAATGCTTTGCATAATTGTAATAAGTGAGTGTAGCATGTTGGTCACGGTTTGGTTTCTGTTTACTAACACCAAAGTCAACTCACAAATATATCGGGTTTTTTCCAGAGTAACATCTCGCAACTCCTTACACATCAGATCTCTAAGCCCTCAGATGGACTGTCGGTTTTCCCTCCACTGTTAAATGTTACCTAAGTGTTTCATGTCTTGCCATAGCTTCAACAGACCTCCAAGATGGGGTATCCACAATCAAAGAAAAGGGAAGAGGGAGGGAGGGATAAAAGATCACTATGCAAACACCCAGCCTTAGTTCCTATTTGTTCTTCCCTCACCCTGTACTGCAGCCTCCCACCACTGGCCAAAAATACCGTTTTGATGAAATATTAGAGTAGGTACCTCTCTACAGGAGTCAGAAAATAATACCTTGCAGCCAAGCTCTGGCTCAGGCAGGACACTTAATTAATTTAAACTTGATTAAACTACCCCTCATTAGAATCTCTCACCTCAAAGAAGGCCCCGATGCTGTAGACTGCAGGATGGTTTGGAATGTCATGAATATTAATCTAACTCTTCCTGTTCCTTGACGTATGACGCACTCTCTCATCGCCCCATGCATAGCCCTCTTAGGTTTCATGTTTATGCATTTAATTATGTTTAATTATGCAAACACTGGTACAAATATACTCTCTTATAGGTTAAGAGTTTATTAAATAACTATCCCAGAATAAAGGAGAAAACTCCAGGAAAGGAATATTCTTTCTATACACCAATTCAACAGGGCCAGGCAGCATCTGAACACTCTCAGTATAACAATCTCTCCACCAAGGAAGAAGCTGTAGTTCAGGAACATCCAGTCTTTTGCCAGGCACTTCATAAATGTGGGCAGCATTTACACTGGCATGCATCCAAAATGTAGGATGTTAGTAAGACAGGAGAGGAAGAAATGTTATAATACAGAGGATAACAGATCATGGCACAGGTTTCCTTTCCACCACCCCACCTTTCTCTTTCATGTGGAGAAAAAGAACATGGATTATCCCCGTCTATTCAAACTCAACGAAAAGTGCTAAGCAAAGCTCATCATCAGGGAAGGCTGGCAGAACTTCAGGGAAGCCCTTCTCTCTCTTGATACCTTTTCCTCACATTGCTTCAGGAAGGGACAAAGCCTTTGGGTCTACAGTTAGAAACAGTTTCTCAGCTAAGAACTTGACTCGTTGAAGACTCTCAATAAATGTATTTAATCAACTAAAGAATTTCAGAGTGTAATCTTCAAGTAAAGTTAATCATTTTTGTGAGTGTATTATGGTTAAAATGTTCACATCAGTTCATATACCCAACCTACTAATGCAAGACCCATTTACCTTTGGTTGGGGGGAGGAAGGAAAAGCAGTAGAATGACACGAAGTGCCTGTAATCCTCTGGGGGGAAAAAAACACCCGGAAAAACTCAGCTCAACCTGAGGAAATCAAAACTTAGATTGCATGATGTTGCACTAAGCGTAAGCTCTATTCATCGTCAACTTGGCAGAAACTAATAAAGTATGCACGTGAGGTACTTTTTATCACACAGCTGCAGTAGTGCTTCAAATGATGTGGGAAGCTTCCATCTTAGTCTTGAACACATCTGACTTCATATAAAGGAGCTACACTCATAGGAGTTTGGAAATGTAGCTGCAGCTAAGATATCTGAGGATAGGTCAGTGGGAAATGTTGAAAATTATTAAGCAAGTCTTCCTTGTAGCTAGAGAAATCCTGAGAATGAGAGACATAAAACATGCACTGAAGTGATGTTTAAATGAAAAAGCCAACACCTACACTCCAGTCCAAAGTCGCTCTGGGCTCCTTGGCTGGACCATTTGCCACAGGAAGGCTGAGGGGATGTGCAGGAGCCAGATGCTGGAGGCCTGCCCGGGAGATTGCTTTCCTGCAGCAAGAAGAAAAACAAAAACAAAAAAAGAAAAACCAATGTCAGAATCTCATACAGAGCTCGAAATTTCCCATGGGGTAGAACCAATGCCTGACTTAACCTTCCAAATCTGAAAACCTTTACCAATGTACTGAAATATACTTCTCTAAAGTGCATGGTGTCTGTAGAGGGTGGCAGGTCCCAAAAGACAGGGTGGTTGAGGGGACCACTGGGGGGAAATACTGCTTGAGAACCAAAAATTAAAGTAGAGGGAAAGAACAAAGGTCTTGACTCTTCATTTATGGAAAAAAGACCTAGGGTTTGGGCAGCCACCATACTTGAACAACTTTAAGATTGCCAAAGACTAAAAGGAAGAAAAATGGGTTTGTGAGTCTCCTACTGAAATTCCTCCATTTACCAGAAAAGCACTCTCCATGATGGTTACAGCTGAAAGTTCATTATTATTTTGCTCTCCTCTCAAGAATATTCACCTTTCCCTATCCTCCTTACCCCTGTAGAGGACTACATAAACTTGAGGTTCTAAATGGGAAAAGACTGCTTTGCATCTGTCAAGAAATTGCACAACCGATGTGTTACCAAGATCTACAATAAGATAAAGCCTAAACACTAATGAGATTTTAGATTTGTTGAATGGAACATAACAGAATTCAGGTCAGAAAGGAGGGTTTGCATCAGGAGAGGCTGAGATAGCCCCAACCCGAGTCTGCAAAGAAATGAAACAAAAGGGGCTACTTTAGCAATATAAATATGACCATTGCTGAGCAAAGGGAAGGGAGGAACAGAGCATAGTGGTGAGAATAAGAATAGCAAGAAGCAAGAAAAAGCAGGGATCGCCTAAGGAGATCCGTGGGATTATCAGGGATCACGGAAGTTCAGTTTCTGAACAGCCTCATGAAAAACGCCTCACAACGGTCTAGAGCTTAAACATGAGTGCTGATTTGTGATTTAACTAAGTTGCTTCCTAAAAAGGACAGAGGCTTTTCCTCTAATAGTATCTAAGTGTGGTCTGAGAAGTATCTGAAGTAGAATCAGGAGAGTTTTGTGATGCTGCATCTCTGAGTCCCGAATCCGTTGGAGGGTGAGGCACAGGAATCTGCATGAACACACAGTCCCAAAGTTCTCTTTGGTGCACTAAACGTCTTAAACTTTGCTCTACGGGAGCATGTACATTTGGGCGGCTAGGACACAACTTTCCAAAGCCCATCAAGGGAGCTCTAAAGAAAACATCAGCAGTTTCATTATTTACTTTATCTCCATTTGGCTCTCTGCAGCTACTCTCATATGACCTGAACACTGCAGTAAGAATCTGCCATCTCAGAGACTAGGCCTGCAGACACCCTGGATCCCCAGAGAGGCCCAGCTCCTCAGACTCCTCATACCCCTTGGACGACACAGAGGAACAAGGCTCCAGATAGTGGAATGGAGAAAAGGAAAGCAGTGACGGCCAGATCTGTGATGAATCCCATCATAAATGTGTCGCTAAAGGAAAAGAGACACGCTCCACATAAAGGAGAAGGAATGGGAGCAGAATTTAAAAGCTTTCTTGAAACCTAAAGGGCAGGTAATTTTTCCATCCTGCTCAGTGACCTCTGCAAACTCCCTCCAAAAATAGAACCTGTAAAGTTGAGCAAGATGAACAGTAGCCCCCAAGCCTGAGGAAATGCTGAGTAGAAGCCAGTAAACAGTCTAGGATTGTGCAACCATTAATCAATTACCATATTGTCAGAAAGCTCAGCAAGTGTCTAGACCTTTGGGGTTTTTTTTGAGTCTCTTGTATTCCTATACAGGAAGTCCCAGAAATAGTGGGTAGGTCTTCAGTAGTTGGAAGCGATCACATCGAGCTTGTTGTAGCCTACTTTCAAAAACTCCCACTGGGTAGCAGACAATGCACTGACTTTATACAACCCCCGAAAGAGTCATTATGAAGATGAAGGCCTTTAATGATGACCCAATATTCTCGTTCCTCACTTTCACCCAAGCAAATAATTGGCAACATCAATTCTAGCCCCTCACCCCAGAGCATATTCCATATCATCCAGCAATAAGAAAGGAACAGTGGAAAAATTTTATACAGTGATCTGTCATTTCAAAACAATTTTTCTCCACCCACCTGTATTGAAGGAACTTTCTTTAGCATTTATTAGGGTTTTCTCCAGCTTTCAAGGGATCTGCATGGTGTCTCTGAGCTACGGTTTTCATCATAAGAAAATCAGATCTCTGCAGAGTCGGAATACACAGGTTCTACATTTGATTCCTTAACAGTCAACACAACCTAAATTAAGTGTTCTTACACAAAGTACCAAACCATACCCAAGTGTAAACTCTTGGAATGGCTGAAGATTCCTAAATCTTGGTTTTTAATGAGAAAAACACAAATCTTTCATTTTTTCATTAACTGTGCCAGATGGTTTTGATTAAAAAAATGTTTTTAATAAAAGAAATAAAATTCTACTATAAGGCACCAGTAGAAACCACAGGACAAATGAGTTTAACTCATCAGAACTGGTAGATTCTGACCACTGAAACCTGGCTACTCTTCCTAATTAGGACTAACAGGAGGAGCCAATTTCTGAAATAATCAAATTAGGCTTCAAGGCTCCAAGCCACTTGTGTCTATGAAAGAAAATGTGGCTACACAATAAGAGACATACAAACATTTAACCTTGAATGAAATTACAGTCAAATCACACTCTTTTCCAGACTAAGAACAGAAACAAATAAGGCCTTTTTTGTCAATCATTTATTTCTCTTTGTGGATACAAATTCAAGGCTGGTTTTAAGTCTACACACATAAACATTAACTAGGAGAAAAAATAAGTAAAAAACATCAAACTGGCTGCCAGTTTGTAACTGTAATTGGCCTCACACAAGGACATACAAATCGGAAAAATATATCTAGGTATAACAGGGTGGAGGAAGTAACTTCTGATTAGAACTTTCCCTTCTTTTAAATAGTGATGGGAGCAAATCCTTGTCTCCAATAATTCATACATGTATACACACTTTCTTCCAAAACAAGAAAAGCGTTTGATTATACCTCAGACTTCAAATGGAAGTTAGTGAAAGTTATTTTTCTGTTTGAATTCCTCTTGGTGGTAGATGACATTTAAGGGTCTAGAAGAACTTGCTGTGTCATTGGGAGTGGGATGAGGGGCAGCAGTGTTATGAAGAACTTGCTGTGTCATTGGGAGTGGGATGAGGGGCAGCAGTGTTATGAAGAACTTGCTGTGTCATTGGGAGTGGGATGAGGGGGCAGCAGTGTTATGCTGCAATTTGCTCCTATTAAAAAAAACATCAATGGGGTTTCAACTTATTCTTTCCTTCTGCTCAGAGTCCTCTCAAGTCCATGGTCAGCAAAACCATGAAATGCCAATGATTCTTTCTATTCATTTCACAACAACGCTTCATAAGGGATGGCTATAATCACAAATCCTTCTTTGAAAAGAACTGTGATAGTAACTGTGAAATAATAAGAAAAGAAAATGTCCTATAAAGCAGTTTCAATAATATAATGTCACAGTTAATATCAATTACCTGAAAGACCTCTAACATATTTAAAATATAAAAGTCATCACACATTTTAAATAGCGTCGTATTATTTTCTTCACTTCATTCAATAAGACTATAAACTCCTAAAGGACAGGCTCAATCCATCTACTAATCTTATTACATTCTAGCCCGGGGGTAGGCACAGTCTATATTCAATCAATGCTTTCTGAGTTAATGAATGAACCAAGAAGCTGAGCAAAATAGCTTGCTGATTAGATGAAGGGTTGAGAAATCTGATTAGGATGATTTCAATAATATCCCAGGTCTTACATTTCAGTGATATTCTTTCCTGAGAGAGTCAGGAATCCTTCAAAGCAGCTCTTTAAAAATAAATGCAAATAAGATAGAATCCAGTGTTAAGAACCATGGGAAACATCAAAATAGCTTTGTGTGGTCAACATTAAAATGAAATCCCTTTGCCACATTCATAAAGGGCATATGATAGTGTTAGTATTTTTACAAGGTGTTTAATGAAACATACAGCACATACGCTTCATAAACAGAGTTTCTTACATTTATGGAAAAATATGTGAATAAGTGGTTATTTAGCTACAGATACCCTTTTCTAAGTATCCGTTTTGCAAAATTCTCTCAATTTCCTATGGTTCCAGTTTCAGTCTGATTCTAGGTTTATGTGGCTCCCATTTTCTATGTGTCCCCATCCTGCCAGATCCCTCTCTGGGTGACGCTACATGTGAGAATAGAATCAGGATTCTTCTTGCAGAGTAGAAAAGCACCCAAGAATCAGGAAGTCTCTTACCCAGAACACTCCTAAACATTGACACTTTAGAGACTGGTGAACTCATCCTGTTGTTCTAGAAGACGAACTAGCTATCTAAGAAGTTACATAGTATCTTGGTTTGATTCTCGGAGAGAGTTCTTTTTTTATATATATCCTTTAAGTTGTGGGATACATGTGCCAAACGTGCAGGTATGTTACATAGGTATACACGTGCCATGGCAGTTTGCTGCACCCATCAACCTGTCATCTACATTAGGTATTTCTCCTGATGGTATCCCTCCCCTAGCCTCCCACCCTCCCAGAGGCCCCGGTGTGTGATGTTCCCCTCCCTGTGTTCATGTGTTCTCATTGTTCAACTCCCACTTATGAGTGAGAACATGCAATGTTTGGTTTTCTGTTCCTGTGTTAGTTTGCTGAGAACGATGGTTTCCAGTTTCATCCATGTCCCTGCAAAGGACCCTAGAGAGTTCTTAATCACTTTGTGTATCGTTGTCTTTTTCCTTACATCATATGGGCACTAACTTTGCTTATATTCAAAGCAGTTCACAATGCTTTTTCATTGACCTAGATAAGCTACCTACAATGCTAAGGATAGTCCACACAATAATTAAAAAAAAAATTGTCCCAAGCTGCATACAAACTTGACCGGTGATTTATGTCAGGGAACAAACCATGTGTAATTAATTATTTGAGCCTAAATTCTACT